CGCGCGGCGCTGGCGCTGGCGGCGGCGGCGCTGGTGGCGCTGGCGGCGGGCAGCGAGTACGACTACGTGAGCTACCAGTCCGACCTGGGCGCCTACCAGAGCGGGCGCTTCTACCCCAAGCCGCACCAGTGCGTGCCCATCCCCGCCGACCTGCGCCTCTGCCACAGCGTGGGCTACGACAAGATGGTGCTGCCCAACCTGCTGGACCACGAGACCATGGCCGAGGTGAAGCACCAGGCCAGCAGCTGGGTGCCGCTGCTCAACAAGAACTGCCACATGGGCACCCAGGTCTTCCTCTGCGCCCTCTTCGCGCCCGTCTGCCTGGACCGGCCCGTCTACCCCTGCCGCTGGCTCTGCGAGGCCGTGCGCGACGCCTGCGAGCCCGTCATGCAGTTCTTCGGCTTCTACTGGCCTGACATGCTCAAGTGCGACCAGTTCCCCCAGGACGACGTCTGCATTGCCATGACCACCCCCAACGCCACCGAGGTGGCCAGGCCCAAAGGTGAGCCCCGCCGTGCCCGAGGGGCTGGCGCGCTCCTCGCGCCGGGTGCGGCCGGACCCTCGGGCTCTGCGCTTCTTGAGCACGGGGCGCCCTGATGCCCAGACCTGTCCCCGTGCGGTGGAGGCGGGGCAGGGGGCAGGCAGTGTCTCTCTTGGAGGAGCCCCATTTCGCAGGTCCGCAAAACGGTGTCACCGCCGGAGCAGGGCGGCAAGACCCTCTGCACCTGCCTGCCTGCCTGCCTGGGGAGCTGGGGAAAGGGAGCAACCAGCCAGGCGCACAGTTTCCCAGGGGGCTGTGGTCAGTGCCCGCAGGGCTTGTTTTGGCACGGAAGAACCACGCCAGGGGCTGCCGAGGTCTGGGCTGCAAACCTGGACGCGCTGCTGTTGTCTGGAGAGGGGGGCAATGGCTTTGAGCAGGCAGGTTTCTCAAAGGCAGAGCGGCTCCCGGCCAGGTCGGCTGGGTGAGGCGCAAGCAAAGCCGGTCGTCGGGCTGGGCTGGACACGCCGCCGCGTGCTGCACGGCAGGAGTTGTGCTGACACTTAGCTCCTTACCTAAAACTTTCTGAGCAGACGCGCGGCACTGAGCCGCGCCGTCCCTGGGACGGCTTTGGAGCTGGCAGCCAAGGGGGGCCACGGAGAGGAGACAAAGGGCTGGGAAGGGGATGCCGCTTTTCCCCTCCTGCCCTTCGGAGGGGACAGGCTGGCTAGATTTTGCCGATGGCACAGGCATACGCCTGCTCTGCAGCCCGGGGACAGCACGGGGCTAAATGGTCTCAGTGCTTCTTATCCTGTGCATCCAGGGCTTGTGGGGAGAGAAATCTGCGTTTGCAGGAGTGCTCAAGCCCAGTTACCTTTAGCAAACAAAGCGCTTTATGTTCTGTGCTGGGCTGGGAGCCCTGGCCCTGGCCCCTGCCCTCTCCCCGGCCCAGGTTCGCCTGGCTTTCTCCTCTCCAGGGGCTGGATAAAGTTTCGCCACTTTTCCCAGCAGAAACTGTGCAGTGCCGAATCCTCCCACCACCGTGTCCCAGCTCCTCGCGAGGGTTTGGGAGCGAGGAGTGACATCTGCAGTGTGTCTGCAGGAGGCAGGGGCATGGGCAGTGTGCAGGGGTGCTGGCACAGTATGGAGAATTGGGTGTGGGACAAGCTGTGTGACCCCGGTGTGGGGGGCGGAGGGGTGATGGGCACTGGCACATCCACACAGGGAGCTATCCCCTGCATGGGTCCCAACCAGCTGGCCAGCGCAGGGCATTGCAGGGTTCGCACCCGCATTGCAGGGACTCGGGCAGAACAAGTATCCTGTGCCCTGGAGTGTGGGGAGCTCCTGCCCCACCTTCCCATAAACATCCAGCTTGCACTTCGGGGCCCCGAGCTCAGCGCCCTCCTGCAGCAGCGCCCAGGGAGAGGGGAGCCCTGCCTCCCCCACGGGGGCTGCAGTGTCACCACGGTGAAGCCAGCTCAGGCCTCCAGCATTGGCAAATTTGACTCGGGCTGTGGGAAAGGCTTGTCCTTTGAGCCCTGGAGGCTCAGGCTGTCACAGCAGCCTTAGGGCACATCTGGCGGCCTCTTTGGAGCCCCGATTCAAACCTGGAGCTCCGTGAGCTGTGCTGGGACGGCCACAGCTGCACCACGACCTGGCACCTGCCTGAGGGGAGCGTGTCCCTGGGGATAAGGGCAGTCATGGTGTTTTCCTTTGCAAGCAAGGGGGCACGCGTCTTGTGGAAGTGTGAGCTCATGGGGAGGCTGGTGCTGTGGTGCCCGTTGAGGCAGTCCTGTGGTCCATGCTGCCAGCAGTCCTACCATGCAGCAGAGCTGGCCACACGGGTACCCAGGAGGCACAGGGATGGGGAAGACCCCTGTGGAGTCTGCAGCTAGGACCCTGGGCAGGCACTTTGCAGGGTGGCAGGGGCCAGGCCGCAGCAGGTGCGGGCAATCTGCTGACTCCAGGTGCATTGGCTGCAGTGGGACTCCCGGATCTCGCAGAAGCTGCGATGCAATGCAGTGCGATGCTGGCTGGGGTCTCCTCGGCATGGTAAGCAGAGGGAGGTGGCACCTCTGTGCTGGACTTGCTGCTGGAGGTGCCTCGTTTGCAAGAAGCAGCAGCCACCAGAAGCACGAATGCCCATGTTGATATACCAGGCATAGTCTGAAGCAGCTCGGAGGCCTTGGTAGCACGCGTGCAGGGAAGGGCTGGGCTTGCACTGGAGAATGAGGACCTCCGGGATCCAGAGGAAGGCCCATGCTGCTTCTCACCGGTGTCCAGGGCAGGCAGGCTACTCCCCAGGCTTTGCACCCTCCGCCCCTGCTCTGCCGCAGCATCTTGTCACGGATGTACCCCTCTGTATCCCTGGCCTCCCCACGGCTGAGCCGACAGGCCTGCAGGCTCCGTGCCCTCTCCCCAGCCTGCTCAACCTGCGTGAACCTGACCTAACCAAGAGTCCCTCGCATGGCTGGGCTGGGCTGCCTTCCTGTGGGCTTAAACCAGGCCAGGGCCCAGTGCTGCCCCCTCCCTCCCTCCCTCCTTCCCGGGTCTTAATAAAAGCGAGGCTGCCAGCTCCTTCCCCATTAACACCTCTGCCGAGGAATTCGCTCCCCGCGCTGACCTGCCGAATTCCTTTCTGCTCCAGCACAGGCCGCAGGCCCCCAGGATGCACCAAGGGACTCGCAGATTAATATAGCATTACACATTCCTTCTTCTGCCCGCCTGCGAGCCTGCTCCAGCGCCACGCGGACTGGAAGCCTGGCGGGGCAGTGGCGGGCGGGAGTGCTGCCTGGGCGGGAGCTCGGCCCCTGTGCAGGCCCGGGTGGGATGTGACCTGGGTTCTGCCACTGACCTCCCCTCTCCCCGCCCCACCGTGCCTCAGTTTCCCTTCTGCTGTCCCTCTGTGCACTAAGGGGCCCAGTCTTGATGAGGGCATGCATGTCACAAATGCCCATGTCCTGGCTCTCGCTACACAGGGGCCAAGGGGATTGCAGCACAGTAAGACCCTGGAGTGTACACGGCAGCGTTGGCTTTTTCAGGGCTAAATAGCACCTCAGCCCTGCAGCAGAGGTCAGGGGGGAGTGCTGTGCCCCTGGGCAGACAGGATGCAGGTAACAACAGCAGGAACAAGACTCGTGTCCAGCAGGTGCCTCCCTCAGGCTGTCTCAGTGCTGGGGATCAGCCTTTGGGCACCCATATGTGTGGGAGGTCCCTGTTGCATGCAGCACCTGCAGCAGCGCGGGGTATCGTGATGACACAGACTGCTCGTGCCCATGGTGAGCCTGAAAGAGCCATTCCTGTGCCAGGACGCTGCTTCCTCCCTGGCTGGGAAGCCTGGTGGGCTGCAGGCCAGACCGTGCAGTGCCCAGGTCACCTCAGCTGAGCGCCTGGCCCCAGAACCGCTGCTGCCTGCCAGCACTGCCCTGTTGTGCCCTGGCCCCAGGCAGGCCTTGAGGCTTTTGACAGGGCTGGGGGCCAAGCTAGTGATCCTGCATGCGCACAAGCTGCCGCTGCTGCCAGCGTGACCCTGGGGCAGGGAGCACCCGAGGGCTTGTGCAGGAGCAAAGCCTCACGGACCTGCAGTGACGCCGTGGGACATGCAAACCTCCATGCTCACACTGCAGTGGAGGAACGTGCCCCAGACCCCCCGCCTGCTTCTCACGGGAGCCCACGGGGTGGGTGGCAAGTGCCTCGGTGGAGGGCAGCACAAGGGGTCTGCAATCAACAATGAGCATCCAGCGCTTATGTCCTGTCTTCCTCTCTGTAGGCTCAGGCGTGTGCCCCCCCTGTGACAATGAGATGAAGTCGGAGGCCATCATAGAGCACCTCTGCGCCAGTGAATTCGGTAAGAGGCCGTGCATGACATCTGCTTGAAGGAGAAGGCGTCATTGGCCCCGGTGCCCCCACCGATCCCAGGTGCCCTCCTCCCCTTGCCCATGTCTCGGCTCTGTCCTGTCTGCACTTGGGAGGCTGGCTGCAGTTATCGGGTGGGTAGCAGCTCCCTGCCCCAGGCCCCTTGAGCACAGTCTGCGGGGCTAGTAGGAGCGGTTTGGTCTCTGCCTTTCACTTCCATCTCATGCCCTACAAGCAGAGGTGTTTCTGCTCCACGGGGCCCGTGCCCTCGGCCCTGGTCCCACAGCGTGGCTGGCTCTGGATCAGCATGACACCACACCGGGTTACGTCTGCTCTTGCTTGGGGGCATAGGGGCCAGACCCGCACCGGGTGCTTGGTGCTGCCAGAGCAGAACAGCTCAATCGACATGCAAAAGGGACAGTGCAGTGGCGGGGCTGGGTGGGGGGTGGCCCCGGCCCCGGCCCCGGCCCCGGCCCCCTGGGCAGGCAGTAAGCCTCTCTAGTGGGTGTTGCCCCCACAGCTGGGTCGCTGGTGTGCCTCTGAACACATGTGCCTCTAGATGTCACTGTTGTGCCGCCAGAGGTCAGTGGGGGAGAGCGGGACGACAGCGGATCCCGGTGGTCCCAGTGACTTGGGCACAGCTGCCTGGCCAAGGTGGCTCCATCCCGGGGCAGGGTGCCTGAGCTCTGGATCCTGGCGCCTGCTGCGGCTGTGCCCAGCCAAGGCTCCAGGTGCGGTGTTCACTGCTGCTGGTTGCTGAATGCAGCCCGGGCGCTCCCAGAGGGCTGCAACCCCAGCTGGGGCTGGCTTCTGGAGCAGTTGCCCTGTCTGGGCAGGCAGGCAGGAGGAGGGGGTTGAGCTCAGCTGCCTCAGTTTCCCCAGGGCAGACCCCGTGGGCAGGGCTGTGCAGCCTGAAGCCCTGCTCGTGTGGCTGGGGACAGGCAGTGTGTTGGCAAGAGTCTGGGGTGCCCCAGTCTCTGCCCCTCACCCAAAGGCAGAACTGTTCAGCCAGGGATGTTATCTGATGGGCTGGGCATCACACACCGCAGCAAGGGGAAGAAGAGGTGGGCACGATCCTGGTCTGTTATGAGCGAGGAAATGGCCTCCAAGGACCTTGTTTGGTACCGAGAGGATACTGTTGGTCAGCATCCCTCTGCCCAAGAGTGCATTGGCACTACATGGCCTTGCTGAGACCATCGCTCGGCTCAGAGGGCCACTCTGCCTTTCTCCCCCAGCCACTTGAGCAAGTAGCGGCCCAGGGTCAAGGGCTGGGAGTGCAAGGGCCTTGAGGGTGCCTTTGAGGCACCGTCCCTCGGCAGGTCGGAGTGCGGATGCCTGAGGTGGGACCGGGGAGCTGCTTGAAGCAGTGACCCTGAAGCGGTGGGTGGAGCTGTGGCAAATGCGGGCTGGCTTACAAGCGCAGTCGGAGGTAGGCAAGGCTTTGGCAACTGTAGAGGGAAAAATCTCAGGCTGTCCAAATCGAACACAGCACCCAGCGGCTCCACCATCACCACCAGCCTGCGCAGCTCTCCTGGCAGGCTGTGAAAGGCAGGCTGAGCGAGGTATGCGTTCCCCAGCGCGCGGCCAGTCCCCCACCTGCCCTGCCGGCTGGCTGCCCGCCTCCCTGCTTGCCGCCTCGTCTGGCCAGGCCTGCCAGGCTGGAGGCCAGTTGGTTCCCAGACAGGAAAACATCAACAGGAACAGCTGGGCAGCAGCCTCCCAAGAACGCGTGGGCTGCCCGCTGGGTCCTGGAGCAGCCACGGCATCCAGGAGGGAAGTGGAGACCGGGGACCTGCCTGGCTCTGGACATGCATGCTCAGGTGTCTGCTGCACGCAGTGCCCAGCTGCAGCCCCCTTCTTGTGGGGCTCCTTGCCTCGGGGAGGAGGGAACGGGGCCTGGTGGGGGCATGCGGAGTGTCCTGCAGGCCAGATGCAGCGAGATGCCTTCTTGTGCCGCAGGGACAAGCGGGCCCCCACGGAGCTGGGGGAGGCGCACTGGGGGCTGTGCTGTTGTGCTGTCAGTGGGAGACCTTGCCAGAAGATGTAGGCCACTTGTAGGAAAACGTGTAGGCCATGGCCAGGCTGAGGGGAGGTGGAAATGTAGTGGGGGTTTAAGCCAGCTCTGTATTGCAGCACAGACAGCTGAAGGCACATGAGCTGTGCGGACGCGGTATCATCTCTAGAAACCATCCCATTCACAGGGGAAACAATTGGGGCACAGCCCAGTCCTGGAGAGTGAGAGGATGTGGTCCCACTGCCCCATTTCTCCCCAGACACTCCCGCACACCTCATCTCTTACCTGCGGGGCTCAAAGGGGCCGAAGCAGGAGGAGAAGCATCCATGCAATGCCAGTCCCTCACAGGGAGGCACCTGCTAGGAAGGCGTCAGCTCTTGGAAGGCTCCTTGGAGGCTGCGAGCACACTGGGGTGGGTGTTTAGTCTGCAAGCAGTGCTGGAGGGCAATTGGCCACGGAGGATGGCTGTTGGGCCTCACAACAATCGCCGAGCTGCTCACATGGGGGCTTCTCCTGAGCTCCCACCAGGGAACAGCCAGGGCAGTTGGCATGTTGCAGGCCCCTGCCAGTCCTGGTGCATGCAATGGGCTGCGACTCCAGCGCGCTAGCAGGGCGGCTGCTGGCAGGTCTCTCGCCCCACTCTGTTCTCGCCAGCATCTCGCCCCACCACTTCTCATGATAACGCTGCCTCGGGTGCTTATGACGTGGGGATGCTTTGCAGAGTCGCGGCGGGAGTTCGGGTGGCTGTGGTGCAGTTGTAGCTGGGGAGGGTGGGCGCAGCTGTTGGCGGCATGCAGTAGTGCGATGCTGCTAGGGCAAGGAGGGAAGAGTGCCATGTGCCACGTGTGCCCTGGGATAGGGACCAGGGTGCACCAGGCATGTAGGAAGACCCCTGGCGCAGACGGGAGCCAGGAACCTGCTGTCCATGGGAGCCGGGTGCTGCTGTTCCTTTGCACTGCAGCAGCAAGGTTCAAAGTGACCCCTGCAGGGATGTCTGCATGGGGTCACAGCACGAACGGGGCTGGCGGGGCTCAGTGGTACCAGTGCCCGGCCTGTGGCTGGAGCCTGGTCAGTGCTGGAGGGCGCCCACCCCTTCTGCAGAGTGCCCTGTGGTCGGGGCTGGACGGGGCTGCCAGACCCCCAGGCTCTCTGCAGCCCCTACACAACTCCCATGCGACAGGGACACAGGGGTCTGAGTGGTGGGGTCCCCTTTGTGCCCCCTCCCTGCCACACAGCCTGGGTTCCTCTCTCACCTTAGGCCAGGCTGGGCCTGAGGCTGCTCTGGGTGATTTTATTTACCCTTCCTGCCCTTTGTGCAGGGCACGCGGGGTAGGGGGCTCTTGTTGCAATGGAGACAGGCATCAGATCAATACACGCTATTTATTTTTCCCCTTGACTGACAGCCCCTTGCCTGCAGCCTTCTTCTCTTACAGCCTAATGTGTCTTCTGGCAGGTTTCCTCGTTCCAAGAGATTTTCGAGGCCGGAGCAGCAGCATTTTTCTGCTCCCTCTGTCTCTCCGCCCCCGCCCCTTGCAACCCAGGGGGCCGGAGTGGGGCCCTGCCGACGTGCTCTGGGCAGCAGCCTCACAGCGGGAGGGCTCCCTGTGCCCCCTGGAAAGCAGGGGCTGCTGCGGTGGGCAGTGCTGGAGGGTCCGAGGGCAGCAACACATGCCCTACTGCCCTAAAGTCTGGCGTGAGCTGATGCTTCAGCTCAGAGACCATGTCTCGGGCAGGTTTGCTTCAGCCTGAGCCCCTTGCACCCATGCAATGGCTGCAGCAGAGCTAGGGCCATGTCCATCTCTCTCATGCTGACGATCCCTGTGGCAGAGCCCCATCCCAGCGACCCAGAGTCTCTGGCCCAGGGAGGCAGCAAGCCAGAGGGAGGCCAGGCTTTCTCCTTTGACAGCCTGAGCCTGCAGCCCTCAGTGACAAGAACCGTGGCCAGCACCGAGCAACCCCTGGCGTGCTGGACCCCAACCAACTTGTGGGGGCCCTGCTGTTCCTGCAGCCACGGCTGCCAAGACCTGATTCACCCTGAGCAAGCAAACATTTCCCTATCTCCTGTTTCATGTGAGCGGAAATTGGAGCAGACGCGTTGATGTCTTCTGCGCTCGCTGCTCTCCCCGCGTCAGCAACAGTGGAGCCTGGCTACGATCTGATACGGGCCCTCAGCAGTCAGGGCCGAGTTCGTGGCTTCAGTCCATGGGGGCTGCACATCGTCTCAGCAGAGGGACAGTCTGGCCCTGGAAACCCACTTCATGGCGGCATCACCACCCAGCCTCAGCGCTGGTGGCATGTCCCTCAAGCATGCACCACGTGTTTTAAAGGAGCCAGAGGATGGCCAGGAGGCCAAGGCAGGAGGGATAGCTGGGGTCAGAGCTGTGGGGCTGTCAGTCTGGGTGGTGAAGCATGCCAGGGTGAGAGCCTGCATTTTCCTGGGGGTGGCCCTTGTCCTACGGGTCCGTGGGGCCTGCCCAGGTTTGGAGCACGTGGGAGCAGCCCCCTGGGCCGTTGGCGCGGGAGCCAAGGGGCCGCAGTGGGTCCAGGGCTGGCTGCGCTGCAGACTGCCCCGGGCTTTGGTGCTCCCAGCCTGCAGGAGACCGCGGCCTCAATTTCTGGCGAGCGCTTCCTGGGGCCCTGGTGTCCGCTCCAGCTCCGCTGTCTCCACCTCCCCCTCAGCCCGAGATGGATTTGGGCTAGTGGTGGGGGAGCCACAGCGCTGGGGTCCACGGGAAGGAAGCTGTTTGTTTTGGCAGCTCACCCAGAGCCCGGAGCCAAGCCTCGCTCAGTCCTGATAACTGCCTTGATTTAGATCCTGCTCCTCCCCTCCCAGGCCAGGCTGGGGCTGGCGCGGGTATGTGCTGGGGGGGGCTCCACGGCACAGGTCTCACGAGGGCAGCTGTCGCTGGAGCTGGCTTTCTGTACATAGACCCCAGAGGCTTCGCCCCGACACCCAGGCCGGGCCGAAGAAAGCTGCTCCCCCGGCACGTCTGCCGAGTCTGCGGCCCAGCGTAGAGAGCAGGGCTGCAGGTCTCGGATGTCGTGGTGGCAGTGGCTGACCAGTCAGGCGTCTTTGCTGCTAGCGGCAGAGTCCAGCTCTGTGCTTTATCTGAGCAGGTGACGGCAACAAGCCCATGCATGGGTAACGAGGTCTTCCCGGTGCCATTGCATTTCTTGGGTTTGGGAGCAATCTGCTGCGGGGCAGAGAGCGGCCAGCCCATGGCGGCATGCGCGTGGGGGAGTTCTCCGCCTGCGAGTTATCTCCAGAAAGTTTGTCATCGTTGTGCTGAGCTGCCTCGTTGTGCACGGGCCATTGCCAGAAAGGTTTGTCCCCATTCATTGTCTTTGGTGTGTAAGCAGCTTCCCCAGCCCTGTAGCATAGCTGCACGGACCCTACAGAAGCTGGGGGCAGCGCAAGGGAAGCTGCAGCCTGATCCGTGCCTCGGGGCTCAGAGCAGCACTGGAGCCGTTCCTTTACTTTCTGGACCTGTTGAAAACCAACCTCAGCTGCGCCCATTAGCCCCTTGCGCATCCTGATTTCAGAAAACAAAATGGGAAGAAAGTTCCCCTCCGGTTTCTAGCGCGCTCCTCCTTTCCTGCTTGGGAGCCACATAATGCAGCGGGGCTGGCAGGCATGGTGGACGCTCCTGGTGCACGAGCAGATCAGTCCCATCACTGCTGCTGCCAATGCAGTGGCTGGGAGCATGGGGGTAACAGACGGATCCTGCTGCCTTTTCAGGGTTGTCATCACCATCTCCTTCCACCCTGTGTGTCTGGAACGGTGCACGGAGCTGCCGTCCAGGACTCCACGTGCACTGCGCCCTGGCAGCAGGGCCCAGCCGAGCAGCCTCCCACAGAGAGCCACTGCAGGGGCCCCCTCCCTGCCAGCACCACGGGCCTCGTGTGGCTGCCACCACTGCTGCCACCAGCGAGACCTTTTGGGCGCAAAGTGGGAGGGAACCCCCTCCCCAAGCACTGCTTATCGGCGACCCTGCCGTAAACCCCCAGATGATGGAAAGATGTTAGTCATTCTTGGCCACGTGCGCTTCCCCCAAGGAGGTGGTGGAGCCAGATGGCACCGGGGCGCTCTCTTAATGCACAACACATTTCCCTGGCTGTTCCCATGCACGCTGCATTCCTCTCCCCGGCCGTGGCGAGGAGCATTCGTTTTGACTTGGGTTGCGAATTGCTCGGGAAAGCGTGGAGCCCGGAGAGGGGAACAGTTTCTATTGAAGTTGGATCGGATTAGCTCTCCTTCTCCGAGGGGAAGGTGCGAGCCGGCTGCCTGCGCCGTGCACCTTGGTTAGCGCCGTGCGGGCCTCCTTCCCCATTAGACACGCCTGTTTCCAAGGGGGCCTTGCTGCTCCAGCGCAGAAATTTGCAGCGCTTGGAAGCTGGTTTGCAGGCACCCGGGGGCCGGGGGCAGCTAAAGGAATACGCTGGAGAAGTGAAGTCGACCTTTTAAGTGGCCCGTGCAGGCATCTCGCTTGGTGCCGGTGGAGCAGGGAATAGCGGTGTTTATTCAGCTAACAGTTTGCCAGCAGAAAGTGCGCAGTGCCGGCTAAACAAGTCCCTCTTTCAAATCAAAAGCACCCAGCATGGGTTGAGGGACTGGGCTGCTCTGAAAGGCCTGGCCAGTCCTTTGGCCTGTAGCAGGGGATCCAGGCCTGCTCGCTGGCGTGGTGGGATGCTCGGGGCCAGCGAGCTCTGCGGGGGAGCCCTGTGGTTTGTGGCTCTGGGGCTTTTGGCTTCAGGCCCACACAGTGGCTTGCCACAGCCTCTCCGCAAGGGGCTGTTGGTCATTATTTCTGACTTGTAATGCCTAGTCCCTTGGGGAGGGCCCAGGCTGCTGGCCAAACAGGATCCATCCCAAAGCGCTTCCCTCCGCGTATAAGGTAAGGGACGGGAGGCAGAGGCAGTGCTTAGCCAGGGTAGCCTGATGAGGTGAGGCCAGCCTGCGCTCTCCATATTTCCTGCTTAGTTAGTCTGTAAGGTGCATCCCCCCGCCCCCGCACAGGGTTGGTTTGATTGAGTCAGCCTTGCTCAGGAGCTGTGTCCTTCTCTGTTGTTTTCTAGCTCTGAAGATGACGATAAAGGAGGTGAAAAGGGAGAACGGGGATAGGAAGATTATCCCGAAGAAGAGGAAGGCGTTGAAAATGGGCCCCATCAGGAAAAAGAACCTGAAGAAGCTCATCCTCTACCTAAAGAACGGGGCCGGGTGCCCGTGCCACCAGCTGGACAACCTCAACCACTACTTCCTGATCATGGGCCGGCAGGTGAAGAGCCAGTACCTGCTGACGGCCATTTACAAGTGGGATAAGAAGAACAAGGAGTTCAAGCAGTTCATGAAGAAGATGAAAAGCCCCGATTGTCCCACGTTCCCGTCGGTCTTCAAATGAGGCGGCAGCCAGAGGGACTCCTGCTGGTGTGGACCTTGCACAGCCCCGGCCCGGGGCTCACACATCCCCCCTCTAGTAGTGGATGTTGTCCCCACCCCTGTTTTGTTTCTTTGTCTTTGTTAGAGCTTCCTTTCAAGGTCTGCCCCAGCGTCCGTACCCCCCTGGACACGGGCATCGACAGTGCGAAACCCCCGCATGGCACGGTCACCCGCTGTCGACACCTGTGGTGTGGGATGGCCCCTGTTGCTGTTGTGAGATGCAAGCCTGTTCAGACGCGGAGCCTGGCAGGGAAAGGAAAAGGGGGGAGGTGAAACTAGAAGGCTAGACCAGAAGGGACCAGTGAAACCAGCCAGTCTGACGTCCCGTGCCACACAGGCCAGGGGGTTGCCCTGAATTCCCTCCTGTCTGAGCTAGACCGTAGCTGTTAGGAAAACATCCAGTCTCACTGTAAGGATCTCCAGCGACGGAGAATCCTCCACGGCTCTGGATAAATTGTCCAATGCCTCATTTCCCTCGCTTGGAAAGCCGCACCTTTGTTTCCCTTTGACCCTTGTGCAGCTCCACCTCCAGCCTTTGGAGCTTGTCTGTCCATCTTCTGGGCGGGGGAGCCCTGCGTGGGCCTAGGGAAAATCCTAAATGGCCTAGAACCAGGAACAGCTCCTGCTGGCCTCGCTGCAGGTCCGCTTCTTGCTGATGCCCTGTTTGCAGGTGCTTTTGAGCCCTGTCCATTAACCAGTTGTCTGGGTCGCAAAGCCTTGCAGAAGGCAGCGTGCGTTGCATCAGAGCGATTGCCTCTACCAAGCAAGCCAGCAGCCTCACACACATACGTCTCATTAGTTGGGCAGGGTCCGTTTCCCAGAATGCCATAATGCCTGGCATGAATTGTATTGCCCTCCCTTAAGTCTGTACTAACTCCGTCCCATATCAGTTGTTCCTATTTTAGCCTAGATCACCCTATTGAATCAGCCTAACATGCACTTGCAAATCCCTGGCTTCGAGGTCTACACTTACTCTTGTCACCCTGGTGCATTGATTCCTTTCTTAGCTCGGGGCTGCTGATTTCCCCCCACCCTTTTCCCCTGTGGGTTTTGCAGCTGCTTTTCCTGCAGGCCATGACGTGGAGAAATGCCTTTGGATGCTGTGTTAATTGTAACGGAGCGATGCAGTTAAGACAGGCACACTGTGGAGAGTCCCTGCAGGGTTTCTGAGACAGGCTGTCTTTTCCCTGATGCAAAACGAACTGTTCCAGGCCTCGTGCTTCGGTACGAGTTGCTGTTGGACCCCATGTGCTCGAGTGCCGCAGGTGCCTGAGGAGGCAGAGGAAGCTGGCATGAAACAGCCCCCCGGAGCTAGAGGAACCCTGGCCTGGCACTGACTGTGGCTGGACGGCAGCAGATGCAGCGGGCTTCGCTCCAGCTGCCTGCAAAGCAGCTGAGCTGGGCAAAGCTGGTCCGGTCGCTGCGGGGAAGCTTGCCACTGGCAGGGCACAGGGACAAGGAGCAGTGGTTTTGCATCAGAGAAGAGTCACTGAGCAGATGGGAATTTGCAAGAGATGCAGTTTTAGGGGCTGGTGGGCAGCTAGTGGGCTCCTCAGCACTGCTTCATGTTAGGGACAGTGCTTTGCACCCTGACTTCTACTCGGGGTGGGGCAGCAGCTGGTATTTGCATCCAGCTCTGCTATCCCCAGTGGGCAGCAGGAAACCAGACAGAAATCCAGGTCACGTAGGCTTAAAATCCCAGTCGCCCTGTGCAGGCAGGCTGCGCCCCGCAGAATGACAGGCTCATCTCCAGAGAGTGCTTCTTGAACCAGGGTCCGGAGGCATGCGGGGCTATGGCCCCGAGCGGGATGATACCCCTTTGCTCATCAGTATCTTGCATGCAACAGACTGTCTGATCTTGCGGGTTAACAGGGTTAATCCATTTCCTACACTCTGTTTAATAGAGCAAGTTTAGAAAGACAGTGCCCGGGGAACACTGCACTGTTTGCATTTCCCTCTCTCTTGTACAGCATGTTCATTACCCAGGAGCTCTCGTGGCAGGGGCACTTGCCCCCTTTTGCTGTTCTGGGACTAAATAATGATCTGATTCTGGATCCCAGGGACTGACACCATGCCAGGCTCCGCAGCCAGCCAGACAGTGCATCTGGGTTAGGGGCAGTGTCACTCTGCCTTGGCACAGGCCTGAGGAGAGCTCCCAGGTATCACCTCGGAGCTAGGCGGTGGAAAAGCAATTCGTTTCTGTAATGACCAGCTGAAAGCATCATACTGCTGTATGTTAGCAGTTACTCTGACAGCTCTCTGACCCCCTGTTCTGCCCTCTGCAAAGACCCTTTTTCCAGGTTAGCACATACTATTTCAGGCAAGGTTTTCTAGACATTTCTCTGTTCCTGGAGAGTAATTCTGGTCTTGCCAAATTGCTTGGCAAACTGTCAGCAGTTCGGAGAGTGCCTGGATCTAGCGATCTGATGTGCCGGGGCATCAGTCAGACGCTCCGGTTCTGCTTTATGTCTTGTGATAAAAACCTGAGAGCCCGTGGTTGCTGTTCCAGCCCATCCTTTGCAGGCAGCTCAGGGAGATTTCATTCTGGCTGAATATAACTGCTTAGAAAGTTCACGTAGGAAAGTGTGGCAGGCGGGGGGTTTGGAGGTTTTGGGAAGGGAAAAAATGTAAAGCATTAGTGCGATGGGAGTCATAAAGATCCTGCCCTTCTAAAGCCTGTGAAAAAGAGCACGAGGCTTCCTTGTTCCTGAAGGCAGCTGCTCTTTTTCTGTACTTAATTATGCCTGTAATGAAAACAGCAGAGCAGCTCTCAGCGTGAAGGCCGGGGCAGCCCCAGGGGGTGGAAATGAGCTATGACGTGAAGCCCACCCTAAGCTTTTCACTGTCGCCTGAAGAGCAGCAGCCTCGTACCTGGGTCTGTCGTTTCCAGACCCAACCGCTGAGGGAGTTCCTAGGAGTCGCAGGGTTGCAGCT